AAATCCACCTTTTTCTCCTGCCTCAGCCACCCAAACCGCTGGGATTATAGACATGTGCTACTAAAAACAAAACAAAAAAAAAACTTTTTTATTTTCTGGTACACTGAGAACTGAACCCTGGAGTGGGTGGGTATGACTAAACAATATACCCAGCTTTTTTTTTTTTTTGAGACAGGGTCTCACTAAATTGCTGCTGCTGTCCTCAAATTTTTAATCCTCCTGAGTTGCTAGAAGTATATGTGTGAGCCCCTGCACCAGGCTCAAAAATATTTTTATAACTGGGTATGGCTGGACATGGTGGTACAAGCCTATAATCCTAATACTCTGGGAGGCCGAGGCAGGAAGATCACAAATTCAAGCCCACCCTGAGCAATGTGATAAGAACATTCCTCAGAATTTTTAAAAATGTATGAGGTTGGAAATGTAGCTCACTATGAAGGCCCCAAGTTCAATTTCCACTACAGTACTCAAAAAAAAATTATGTCTAAATAAATGGAGACACAAACTATCTATGTATTGAAAGACACCATAATATTAGAAAGATGTCATTTCTCCTTACATAGACCTATAGAGTCAGTACAGTCCCAAGCAAAATTGCAAGTGGTTTTGGACACTGATTAGCCAAATTTATATGCAAAACAAAAAGCCAAGAGTAATTCCGTTTACCTAAATAAGGAAAAGATAGAGAGAGGACTTGCTGGAACAGATACAAAGATAGCTCATGAAACTATAGTAATCAAGACAAGGGGATTTGATGGGAGGAAACAACCAAATTCAGGAACAAGAAGCAGAACCACGAGTGAATGAAAGAACATGTTAAATCACAAAGGCAGCATCTCAGAGCAGGAGGAAGACACATGTCAGCACGTGGCATAGGGAAGGGTGGCATCTGTACAGGAAAACAGAAGGATGCCTCTGTCACACTGCACAAAAACCAATTCCAGCTAAATCACACATCTATGAAGATTTTATGATAAAAGCAGCATCTGAGATTATCTTTTTGATCTATGACAATGATTTGTGGACATTAAGATAGATAGCACATTTACTCTTGTTGTTGTTGTTGTTTGTTGTTGTTGGTACCAGGGATCCAACTTGGGCCCTTGTACTTGCGAGGCAGGCGGCAGGCAGCACCACCGAGCCAAATCCCCGGCTACTCATTTGTTTTTTCTTTCTCTCTCCCCTCCTACTTGCCTATAAGCTTCATGAAGATAATAATTGTTCTGTCTCCTGCGGATGCTTTACTTGAAGCAGTGTCTGATGAATAGTAGCTACTTGATAATTATTTTTTGAATGAATAAATGAAATGAAGTACCCCAAAGAAATTGTTTGGGGGATTGTTGTTTTGGTGCCAGGGATTGAACCCAGGGCCTTGCATGTTATATGTGTGAATTCTATCACCAAGGTACACCCTGGCCCCTGTAGCAGTGTTTCTTAAATGGAGACAACATTGCTTCCCAGGGAACAGTTAGCAATATCTGGAGACACTGTTGATGATCACACCTGACAGAAGAGGGTCTTTCCTGTCATCTAATGGGTGGAAGCCAGGGATGCTACAGAACACCCTCCAGTGCACAGGACCCCTTGGTGACAAGGAGTTAACTGGTCACGATGCGCAGTGCAGAGGTAGAGGTCTAAGGTTAGGAAAAGGTCTAAGGTTAGGGAAATGTCTTAGAAATGTTGCTAATATCCAGCACTCGGGAGGCTGAGGCAGGAGGACCACTGAGAGTTCAAGACCAGCCTAGGCTACATAGTGAGCTTCAGGTCAGTCTCAACTACATAGAAAGGTCTCAAAAAACCAAAAAAAAAAAAAAAAAAAAAAAAAAAAAAGATGCTAAAAAAAATTCTATTCCTATAAGTCTGACTGCTAATCTTGACAGTATTAAAAGTAAGAATATCTGAAGCTAGACAACAGTGGGGCACATCTCTAATCTCATCTACTCCTGAGGCTGAGCTAGGAGGACTGCAAGTTTGAGTCCAACCTGGGAAATTCAGAAAGAATCTGTCTAAAAAGAAGAAGGAAGATGTAGGAGGAGGAGCAGGAGGAGGAGAAAGGAAGAAAGAAAAGAAAGGCAGAAGAAGAGAGAGAGAAAGATAGAATGGGGGGGCAGAATGTACTCAGTGTGAAAGCTATGGGTTCGCTCCCCAGTTTAAATATATATATATTATCTGACACAGGGCACGGTGGCATATGCCCATAATCCCAGTACTTGGGAGGCTGAGGCAAGAGGATTATGAGTTTGAAGCCAGCCTAGGACTTCTCCAGGGGCGAAGAAGGACACCTCCTCCCTATGCTAGGGTACCTCACACTGAAGTCCTACCCAAATGGCCCTCTTGTGCTCCTGTGTACCCTCAGGACTTCCACATGGCAAAGGCCAGTCTAGACTACATCATAAAACCATTTTGATGATTTTTCTTTCTTGTTTTTTTTTCTTTTGTTTTCTTTTTTCTTTTTTGGACCTGGTCTCCCCATGTACTCCACTCTGGCCTTGAACTTGCTGCATCCCTCCTGTCTGGAGACTGCTTGGATTACAGGCATGGGCCACCACACCCAGCTTTTTTTTTCTTTTGAGACATAGCTGTGCTCCGGATTTTAGGCTGACCTCTAACTCTGTAGCCCAAGATGGCCTAAAGCTCCCAGCAATCCTTCAGTTTAGCCTCCCAAATGCTAAGATTAGGGGTGTGCACCACAAAACAAGTCTTTGTTTTGTGCATGTTCTGCTTGTACCCAATAGTATATGAACCAAGAATTGGGTGTTTTATTAAAAATTTTCTGTCGCAGGATCATCTATGCTTCATTCAGCCTGTTCTTGAACTCAGGTGACCCTCCTATCTCAGCATCCTCAGTGCTGGGATTACAGGCCACCACTCTCACTTAATTTTTTTAGAAAAAACTCTTGAGATAGGATTAAATCAGGTTGATAGGGTTTGAGGCTATTTGCCTTACAAGGCGGTGAGCTTGGGTGTGTCTGACACGCCTTAGGGTGGATGAGAGACACCTTAGGGTGGGTGATCTGAAAGCCTAGGGCTGGCGATAAAAAGGCCTGAAACACAGGAGGTAGCCACAAACCTAGAGAGAGATAGGCCCCGAGGTGCACAGCTGAGCAGCTAAGACTCAGGACTGTTCTCCAGGACACAGGACACTTCCACCCTGCCCTGGAGCCGCTCACACGGACCTCCAAGCCAGGAGGCCTCTGTGCTCTTAGAGTGCGCAGAACTTGCCCGTCCACGACCCCGGACTTGTAGTCTCGAGGAGGTGAGTTGTAGTCTCGAGGAGGTGAGGGTTCCGTGCACTTGTGGTCATTTTTCTCGGTACACTACCCATGGTGACCGCAGGTAAGCGGCAAGCCCCGCGAGTTTCCAACCTGCTGTCTTGTCCCACGGCATCTGGAGCGCTAGTGCTCAAGGACAGAGCTGAGGTGCAGAGACTGGGCCAGAAGCTTGAGGAGGCTCAGAGCCCAGGTTCCTAGCGGACCTGAGCAGCAGGGCGAGGCCAGGGCCTTCCTTCACTGGTCTATTCATCCACTATTCATCTGTCAGGCACCATTGGGTAGGATGAGGAGACAGCAGTGAATAAGGAACAGTCAAGTGCGGCCCCACAGAAGCAGAGCAGACCTGAACAAGTCGTCTGTTAGCTGCTTGCCCTCACCGTGTGATCCGCTTAGGAGCAGCACCAGGGCCTGGGTGGAAAGGCAGGGTCTCGGTCAGGATTTTACTTTTTTAAAATTGAGTTTATTGGTACATTTTAGGTGTACAGTGCAGTTACATTCATCATTGGGATCTTGTACCTTTACATGACAGGCCTTGGTTCTCATTTTTTCCCCATGTCCCTGCCCTCTCTTCACCCCCTCCTCCCCTCCCGATTTACAAACACTTTATTTCCATTTTTCCATTTTCTCATTTTTTTCTTTCCCCTTATTACCTTTCCCGTATCCTTCCCACTTTCCCTACACCTTTAGCCCTTTTCTTCCTATTTCACATGGTCAATTATCTCATTAGGATCTTATGTACTGTTATAGTTTTTCAGTCAGCATTTAAACGGTATCTGGGAGCTTGGTGGTAGAGGACCAGGGCGCCATGGAGCAGCACAAAGTTGGAAAGGCAAAGGGCACCCCTTGTTGGGTGAGGGTGGGGCGGGACCTCTGAGGAGGTGGCCTTTCAACAAAGCCCAGGCTGGCCAGGGACTGCCTGGTGTGTGGAGAGGTCAGGAGATCTGCAAGCCCGGGGACTTGGAGTATAAATGCCCTGCCTGAGAGCAGTGGAGCCAGAAGGAGGGAGTGAGGAGACCATGCTCAGAGAAACCAGGGACCTCCGGACAGTGGCACAGCACGTTGGGCCTGTGACTTTACCTAAATTATGTTCTGTGACTCAACTCGGGTTCTTCATGTGCAACACAGGAATAATAACTTTCACATTTTTAACACAGTAAATTTCACCTTCCCCTGTTCTTTCACCTGTCAGAAGACAGAATTAGAACAAATTTGGCTGGCAGCTATTACTTGACTTTTATTTGTTATTCTAAATTACACAACACCTTATTCTGTGAAATGGTCAGATTGTTCGGGTGAGCTAAGCAGAAGAGTTTAGCTTTAGAGACACAAACAGAAGGGAGGTGGATTTATACCTTCACAGTCGTCTTCCTAGTTAGGGTCAAAGCAGAGGGGCTCCCTCCTAAGACCAGCTAAAATTGACCTATTTGAGTATTAGGTTCTTACCTCACTCTCCTGATTTCTTGGAAAGTTAGAGAAAACTTAGTTTCCATTGGGTGATAGCGAATTTCAGCATGAGTAACTCCATTTGGGTTTGGCCCACTGTGCCTAATGGGAGCCCTAAGGCCAAACCAGTGGCCTTTTATAAATTTTACTGGACCCACCCCAGCTATTAGATTTAAGATAATGTGACTGCAGTATGAGTGACTTGGGTATATGTTCAGTGGTCTACTTTTTTCCTTCATAGCAAAAGAATACATTTAACAGAAGATTTTCTCCCATTTTCCCTAGCAGAAATCCATGTTTGATACAATGGAGGCTTCTAAGAGAGATGAATCTTTCCAACATGAGCTTCAAGATTATATTAGAAGACAGAAAGCCAGAGGATTACAACCAAATGTTACCTTTAGACAGGTGACAGCAGATTCTGCCCATAAAGCAAGGGGTCCCATTTGGCCCAGACCTCCAGTGCAGGACCAGCAACCCTACTACCAGAGAACCCCCGGGTTCCCTACTTCCTACAGAGGGCCAAAGACAGTGAAAAGACAGGTGCCTCCTTGGCCTAAAAGCCATCACTCAGGACCGAGGCCAGGCTCTCTACATCGCTATCAGAAAAATCAGGCCCATTTCTTCAAAGGCCAGAGGCTCCCATGCCCTGTCTACTTCTGGGAGGATCCCAGCAGGTTCCACTGGTCACGGCATCAGGACAGAGGCCAGAAGAGGAGGCATGGGGAAGAGCCAGGAGAAGGAGCCACCACCTTGGAGCCCCAGCATGCAGAGCAGCATGGAGAGGGAGGGGCTGGTGAAGAGAACAGGAGCCTTGGCGTGAGAAAGGCCAATGGGGAGCCCGTGGATGCACAAAAGCCCAAGCACAGGAAGCAGAATGACCGAGATGGACAGGACACCACCAAAGCCAGAAGATGGTCCCTCAGGGTAGAGGGGTTTCAGGGCTGCATTCCAGAGATGGACCTGTGGAATGAGGCAGTCCTGGGTGGCTATTACTGACACTTGGGCATATGGGGTCCCAGCATTTGAAATAAAGTAGGCATTTGAAGTTGTTGGAAAGGATGGGATAAAGAACTTTTGAGCATCAGATTAACGTCTGGCTGAGTCAGGAGCGCTGCACCCATCTCGTGAGAAAACTCCTAGGCCTATTAGGGCTGGAATAATCCACCCCTCAGGTGTGTAGAGATCTGACCTAGACAGATAAACTGTTTCTCTCAAAAACCTCTAAAGTCCTGACTCCATTCGCCTCAGCCCCTAAAGCATACAATCCAAAAGCAAATATGTGGCCCATAACGATGCGCCAAATATCCCGACTCCACCCTGGTTCCACCCCTGCCTTACCCTATCCAATAGTGATCCAATAGCGCCACCCTGGCTCCACCCCCACCTTACCCTATATAAGCCTGTGCATTTCCTGAATAAAGTGGAAGTGTTCCAGAAACCTCCCTGGAGTCTGTGGTGATTCTGCGCCTTGCCCTCCCAGTCTGGGCCCCCTGAAGGCTGTTCCATGCAACAAACCTTGAAACAATTAATCTCTGACCACTTTTAATTTGAGACAGTCTTACTATGTAGTTCATGCTGACCTTGAACTGCAGTCTTTCCTTTGGAAGAAAAAATCTTGTCCACACTTACACACTCTTCAACTATAAAATTCACATGCTGTTCAAATAGAAAACCCAGATAGTTATAGAAAGGTGAAAAACTAAAACACAGAAGTCCTAGAAGAAAATATACAAAAACTTGTTTTGAATCTTGGCGTATAGAAGACATTTCTGATAAGTAAGGCACATTTAGTCATGGAATATTAAATGACAAATATTTCATTTAGTTGTCAAAATATTTAGAATTTCGGTAAGGCAAATTTTGGTGAAAAAAAAAACATGTACCAAAAAAAATTGTTTTCTTGAGACAGGATCGCTTTGTGTTCATACTCATGGTGGTCCTTCTGCCTCAGCCTCCGAACTGCTGGGATTACCTGCTGGGATCACCTGGCTAAAACAGAAATGTGTTTTTTAATTAATAATAATATAAATGTTTTGAGCACTTTATCAAACATTATTCTATGATCCATGCATAGCTACTCATTCCTTTCTCATAATAGCCTTATGGAGTATTTTCAGTTTTTTGCTGAGGCTTTATTTTTATATAATTCATGTAATACATAATTCACATTTACAGCAACATCACAACACCAAAAATGATTGTAGAACATTTTCACTAAATAAAACCCCAAAAAGAAACACTCTGCTCTTTAGTTATCACCTCTAATCTTTCCCAATGCACCCAGCCTTAGGCCACCACCAACATGATTTTTGTTTGTATGTATTTTCTTATCCTGGAAGATGCCTGTAAGTGTATATAATCTGTGATGACTTCTTTCATTTGGTACGATGTTTTCAAGGTTCACCATGTATTATGTATTAGAATTGCACTCACTTTTATGTATAACAATGGGACTTATATGGACATACCACTTTTTCTTTCTTGCAGTGCTAGGGATTGAACCTAGGGCCTCAGGCACACCAGGCAAGCACTCTACTCCTGCTTATTCACTGTGGGAAATGACTTCATAGATTGGTCTGGTTGGCCAGTTGGTTTGATGTTATTCTCTGCCAGTAGTGGGAAAGGGAGTATCACTGCAAGGTGGAAGTAGTAAGGAGGGACTTTACTTTTTATCAGGCTTGTCTTTTTTGGAGGCAGCAAGTCCATGCGTGTGTGTGTGTGCGCGTGCACACGCGCGCGTCTCCTACCTGAAATCTGTGTCCCTCAGTAAAACTCTTGGTCACTAGTGGGCTGTGTGACCAAGTTCTCTCTTCAGAGTGTGAATCTCACTCTCAGTCATGGGAAGAGACCTCTCCAAGTTTCTGTTTCTTGTTTACCCTCAGCACAGGAAGGAAAAAAGCAGGTGGACTACCACCCACAGGTCATATCCAGCTAGCCACATGCTTTTAGTCCCTGGGCTCAATCCTCACTACAAAGAAAGTTGTCAACCCCTCTCTTAGATCTTTCTTGTATGGTGGTAGACCATCTTTTATTACCTAACAGTTCTTATATTTAATTTTCTCAGCTTGAATTATTGGTGCGGTTGTAGTCTCTTGATTTGGCCCTGACTGATTGAATCCTACTAAACAAGTAGCTTTGGGCAATGAATAAGAAAATATAGACATTTTTGTGATCCTGGGGATTGAATCCAGGGTTTTATGTATCTTAGGCAAGTGCTTCACTATCAAGCTAAGATAATAGAAGCCTACTGGTAAGATAGGTATTTGCCAATTCATTTAGTCAATAAACACGTATTGAATTCAGTAATGGTTTTAGGTGCTAAGAGAGAGTGGAGAATGAAATCAATGCAAAAAAGGAAAGGAGGTGAGGAGAGGGAGAGGGACAATGGAAAGAAGGACAGAAAGAAAGGAGGAAAGAAGGAAGAAAGAGAGGGAGGAAAAAGGAAGACATTGATCTGTAAGTGGAGCTCCCTTCAGGGCTTGTGTTGGGAGGAATAGAAAACTTACCAGAACCTGATTCTGGATTCACTGAGTCCTCCAGGATTCAGGAGGAGCTGTTGTTTGCCATTTGGTGTCATCCTGCATTTGCAGGACATCTGGCACCCCTTGTTCCCATCTACTAGATTCCAGTCAAGACAGTCATCACAGGCCAGGACAAATCTATGAAAGACTTTTGCTCTAGGGCTCCAGCTCCCACCATGAACACCTCACTTCACCCTCTAGAGTTCATATGAACTAACATTCGAGCCATGTCCCTGAAGACAACCCACAAGACAGGCAAGACTACTGTCCCACCCCCATTTGTCAAATGCGGACATCACATCTGGGGTCTGGGAGAGCCAGGGATGGCTGTACCCAAGGTCCTCTGAGGTCCAGCCCACCATTCAGCCCACTCACCTCTTTCCAAATATCCTTTGGGCTATGCTTGGTCAAAGCACATCGAAGGACACACTCACTGTCCAGCTCCTCCCTCCATGTGCTCTGAAAGAGAGCTGCCATTCCATGCTAAAGCACCTATGAATCCCTCTCCAGTTAATCTCCCTCTGACTTGGAGTTTTGTTTGCCTTATGTACAAATTAACTTACTTTCTACTTGTAAAAACGATTACACTTCTCTCTAAAATAAACTTATTATTTCAGGTTTTTTTAAGAGTCTAAAGAGAATCCCCTCAATAGATGTGGTATCACACCCCTGTAATCCCAGCATTTGTTAGGCTGAAGCAGAAGGACCGCCATGAGTTCTAGGCCAGCCTGAGCTGCATAATGAGATTCTGTCTCAAAAAATCAAATTGTAAAAATTTTTAAATAAAGCAAATACCCTCTGGGAATGCGGTTGTGGAGAGGTTACAGCAAAGAATGAATAAGGGTAAAAAGAAGAGCCTAAATCAGGCCTTCCTGACTCAAACACTGAGAATATGTTAGGCCTTGTGATAAAGATTAGAATAAAGAGTAATTCAGGGGAAGTCTGGGGAGAATTGATGAATAGTGGAGTCTACAGAAACACACAGCATTGGAAGCGTGTGTGTTCTCAGAGATTCCTCAGAGGCTGTGGTCTGGTCCAGTTTGATCAGCAACAACAGCCACTTGGTGAATGTGTGCCTGTTTCAGTAGAGCCTCTCATCGTCTGGGCTCCCAACTTACATGAATGCTCTTTTCTGAAGGGTGTGTGTGTGTGTGTGTGTGTGTGTGCGTGCGCACGCGCATGACTCACTGTGTTCCCATTAGCCAGGGCTGCTGGGGCCTCAGGCAGCTGGAAAAGAAACTTTTGGGTATGCACTGTCCTCCCAGGGGTCCAGTAAGCCCAGGACTGAGCTTCTACCCCTTCCCAGAAGTTGGCCGGGAAGGAGGAAGGGAGGAAAGGGAGAGCAGAGAGGGAGGAGGTCAAGAGGAAGGAGGGAGAAGGAAGGACAGCCCTACCACACTGGCCCTGCCTGCCTGCAGTGGGCAGACTTCTGTCTGGTCTCAATCCTGGGTCCCTGCCCCACAGTGTCTCAGGCTGTAAGACACGCTGGCAAAATTGTCTTCCTCCCAGGTGGGTGTCTACACCTGGTTCAGGTGGAGCAGGCCCCACTCTCTGGGTCCCCAGACTCATAGGGATACCCCAGTGTCTGTAGATTGGGTGGAAGGCGACCTCACAATGGCAGCGGCTGGAAGGTGGGATGCCTCTGTTTGGGAGTGTCCTCTGGGCAGAAATGAGTAGTCTCAGGTGAGAGGTGGCAGCACAAATGACAGCCAGAATGGGGGGGGGCTGAGTCTAGGTAGATGCTCTCTGCCATTCGGAGGAAGTTCCCTTGTACCCCCTAACTGTCCGCCAGCAAGTGGCTAATTGGGGCCCAAGCCCAGCTATCACAGACAGCCAACTTAGGTAGAATTCTGTAGGCAGTGAGATGGGTAGGCCCTCCACAGAGTCAGGACAAAGGTGAAACACATCACAGCCGTGGCCAGAGGTGCATCTATTAGACACCAGGCCTCAGGATGAAGACAAGGGGGCCATGTGTGGCTGCACTTTGACCTCTAACAGGAGATGAGAGGCCAAATGGTCCCCTTGCATGCTCTCCAACTCGGAAACGAATTTTCCAAAGCCTTTGTTCACTTCCGCTGCACCTGATACGATTTCTCTGAGTGGGAGGGAGTCTGCTTTCATTTCTCTGATTGGTAATAGTGGAACCACTAATCCTTTAGTCCAGGAGCTTTAGTCAATCTATTTTTGTATCTGCTTGAGCTCCCTTTGATGGGTCACTTTGGTATTTGCAGCTTTTTCCTAAGAAAGCTAGAAAAAAAAAAACAATCTACACTGCTTCTCTTTGATTTGGTTTAGAACTGAGTGAGATTTCCAAGTGGAAAATGAACACCAACTCAAAATAGAAGCTTTTATTTCACATTGTCCAAAATATTTTCTGAGCATCCAATCAAAATTCAATTTATGTTTTAGATATTTTCTGTGTGCTAATTGAACATCTATTTTTATATTTATTTATTTACTTGGTGCTGGGCATTGAACCCACGGCCTCTCATATGCGTGCACTCTACCCACAGAATTACACTCTACTTTTCTCACATGCTCCTTTCTTCGACGGCGGTCTCAAGAGCGAACCGAAGACCATAAGTTCAGCAGATCACAATCCTGGTGGGATCTGCCTGCTCTACCCATCAGACCAGCACCTTTCACCAAAGCAGCTCTTTATAATGACACTTTTACTGCCCTAAAATGAAATTCACAAGTAAGATTGTCTCATCCACACATGTTATTTCAAAATAAATTAGCAAACACCCTAAAGCATAATATAAAAGAGCAGGCAGTTGTCTTTCTTTCTTTCTTTCTTTCTTTGAGCAAAAGGGTCATAGTATTTGGGCTTCTGATGTCAGAGGTATGCTTTATAATAAACTGATGGGTTTTCCAGAGATGATCACCCATTTATACTGAGAAGTGACAAGTGTCAAAGCATGCCTGACCCCGCTCACTAAATGCTCGTAACCCACCTCCGTCAAAGTGACTCATAAAACGTCTTTGAAGTTTTTCCAAACTGCTCCCAGAGGAAGGTGATACTACTGAACATGTTGGCATGTATCTGTAATCCCAGGCATCTAGGAGGATGAGGCAGGAAGATCCCAAGTTCAAGCCTAGCCTGGGCAATTTAGTAACTTTAGCCTCAAAATTGTAAAAAAATTTAAAAGGGTGAGGGATGTAGCTCAGTGCAAAAGCTGTGGGTTCAATCCTCAGTACCACAAAAAAGAAAAAGATGATACTGCTGTCTGTGTGGATGCTCGCCTGTAGTTTCAGTTACTCAAGAAGCTAAGGAAGATGGCTTCAGCCCAGGAGCTCAAGACCATCTTGAACAACATAATGAGACCATCACAATAAGAGAAGACAATGCCTATTTTTGAGGCCTGCTTATTAGCTCCTTAAAGTCTAGGCAAGAGAAGATTATAAAACAGATCCAGGTTTTCACCAGGGCCTGAAGATGAGCCAGTGAGGGTTCATGGCTCTGTTACTACCTTTGTCTATCATGTAGGGCCTAGGCCAAGGGCTGTTCAGGAGCACAGAAGGGAGACAGGCAGTCATCCTTCCCTCCTCATCCATGTGGGGGATGCTGGCTGTGTATTCTTTCATTCCATGTCCCTTTCCTCTTGAGGATCCAACTAAACTTCATTTCCAACACCAGGCTGTTTGTTTCAGTCCATGGGACCAAGCTCTGGTCAGTGGATACTGGACAGAGGGACAATGACACTTGCAAGCCTGGTCCTCATCCCTGCAAGCCCAGTGACCACTCCCACAAAGCCACCTATTCTCTCTCTGTCTCTTCCTTATGCACTGGGACCCCCAGAGCCATGAGTTAAAGATAGGGAACCACAGAAAGAAGGAGGCTTAACCCCTGCAGAGTGAAGCAGGAGCCCCCTAGCTCTGGCCCATTCACTACTTCTGAATGGCACAGAACAACCCTGTGGATCTGTAGTGAGTCAAGTCCCTAAGGTCTGGAAGGTAATTTGTCACAAGAGCAAGCATTTCCTAACTAAGGCATCCAGGAGCCCCCTATCTGTGATTTTAAGCAACACCCTGACAATGTAGCAAGTAACCGTTTAATTATTCAGTGAGAAAGCTGTGCTCAGGTACCCATGAGTTCATAGAAAGGGACAGAATCTAAATACCTTAGGTAAACAAAGAATACGGAAAAATCCAGGAAAAGATGCTTCACGTCATAGTCATTAGGGGAACTCTGTGCAAACCACAATGAGGTGGCCCTTCTCACCCACTAGCATGAATACAAAAGCAAAAGCAACAAGTGCTGGTGAGGACAACAGCGGATTTGGATTTCAAATGTGGAGAAGCTGGAACTCTACTAGGTGCTTGGTGGCAGTTCCTCCAAGCATTACACCCAGTTACTATGTGACCCAGCAATTCCACTCCAAAGTGTGTGTCTCCAAAGAGACTGAGGCACACACTTGGACACGGCTGCTTATAGCAGTACTCCACACGATAGCCATAAGGTAGCCACAGTTGCTGGCCCAAAGGTCCCTCAGTAGGTGAATGGACTTACACCACAAAATGCTCCTCACCGAAGAATGCTACTCCGCAGTAAAGAGGAATGAAGAACTGGTTTGTGCACTACAACACAGGTGAACTTCATAAACATGCTAAACGAAAGAGGGCATTTACTAAAGGCCACATATTTATGGTTCCATCTATCCAGGAATACCCAAGCTAGGCGTGTAACACATACCTGTAATCCCACCACTCTTGGGAGGCTGAGTCAGGAGGATCGTGTGTTTAAGCCCAGCCTGGGCAACTGAGCAATTTAGTGAGCTCCTTTCTCAAAATAAAATAATAAATATAAAAGGGTAGGATTGTAGTTCTGTGTTCAATCCCCAGTACTGGCAAAGAATGAGGAAGGAAAGAATGGGAGGAGGGAGAAAGAAAAGAGACATCCAGAACATACCTATGCGGGATACTCTAAAGAGACAAAATGAAGATGGTTACCAGGATCTGCAGGATGGGTGTAGGCATAATAGGTAGTGACTGCTAATGGGTACAAAAGTTCTTTGGGGGAAATGAAAACGTTTGAAAAGTAGATAGATGCAACAGTTGCCCAACATTGTGAATTTATTATTTACCAGTGCACTGCATAATTTATTTATTTTGGCTTTTTGAGACAGAATCCCACTACATAGCTCAAACTGGCCTTGAACTCACTATGGAGCCCAGACTGGCTTCAAAACTGCAACAATCCTCCTGCCTCAGCCTCCTCAGTGCTGAGACTACAGGTGTGCGCCGCCACACCCAGCGGAACTGTGCACTATGAAAAGATTTATTTTGTGGAGAAATATATCAGAGTAATAAAAGAACAAAGCAAAAAATACAAATGAGTGTTTGCACATGTGTCATTCTTATATCATTATGACCACTATTTTGATGCCTTAATTGTAATAGCTTTGCATAGAACAATGTGTACACGATCTGTTTAGTGCTCATTATTTTTCAGTAAATACTTATGCTTCAAAATTTTTAAATGTTTATTTTGTGTGAAATAAACTGCAACTCAAAATTTTAAAATCGCTATTGTTTGGCCTCTGGGGGCTGTGTGCCCTGGAACTTCTGAGACTCACAAGGCAGAAAGGAGCTCAGGACAGGCGCCTCCTTCCTTCCGCTCCGCAGTACCCTCTGCACTCCTATCCAGCTCCGTGTCGCCTGTCGCCAGTCATGAGTAGGAGTTGGATGGACCTGGATACTGAAGGTGACAGTGTCCCACCCTCTTGCCGGCATGAAGCCTCGGCGGCGATACTCATCCCCTCTTCATAAGCGCCGAGCTCAGGGTGGCCTGCTGCGTCTTTGTTCCCTTAGGCGAACTCCGCGGGGACGACCCCCGCCCCCGGCCGGCAGACCCTCAGCCACCCCGCCATCCTGGACAGCTCACCCCAACTCTGCACCTCTCTTCTGCTCACCACAGGGGCCCAGGCCTCGCCAGGTGCTGACCGCGCCTGGATTTCTCCTCAGAGCACTCCTCACTCGAGAGCAGGAAGGGCTGGCTCAGGGGGACGCAGCACACACACACACACACACACACACACACACACACACACACACACACTCTTACCGGCCATCACTCAGTCCCTGGGGACTCAGAGGGTCTGGGCTTGGCTTTGGCCCCACGCTCGGGACAGGAGGGACTCTCCAGCGCCCCAGCTCCCAGAACCCCACCATCGCCCTCGTCGTCCCCGTCACACAGTCAACTTTAAGTCCCTGGGGACTCAGAGGGTCTGGGTTTGGCTTTGGCCCCACGCTCGGGACAGGAGGGACTGTCCAGCGCCCCAGCTCCCAGAACCCCACCATCGCCCTCGTCGTCCCCGTCACACAGTCAACTTTCCCGCTTTTCCAACAAGCAGTCACTGCTCAAAAAGACAGGAAGGGGCGAAGTGCCTGGAGCTGTAGTCCAACTCCACCAGGGATCCTGGGGACCTGGAGGGCTTTGACCTCTGGGCCTCAGTGTCCCCAGCTGTCACAGTGGAGCAGGACCCAGGCTGGGCACCCCCGGGGGGTAAAAGGCGCCCTCACACGTGGGATTTCTGGAAGCAGGTCGGCGCTGTCGCACCCTTTATCGAAAGTGCGGACGCACTCCCAGACCTTTGAAGCGCGGGGAAGAAGAGACCTGCGATCCCCACCGCGACTCCGCCCCACCCTGCCCCAGCCGCCCGTCCCGGCCGCTCCGCCCACCCCGAGCCCCTTTGGCCAAGCACAGCTCGCACAGCAGGGGACTCGGGCGCCAGCGGAGATGCAGCTGCGGCTCTGGCTTCTGGCCGCGCAGCTCACAGGTGAGAATGGGTGGTGGTAGTGAGGGACAGAGAGAGCCAGGACTTTAGAAACGGTATCTGGAGCACGCCTGTAATCCCAGACCTCAGTAGGTAGGCTGAGGAAGGAGGATCGCCGCGAGTTTGAGGCCAGCCTGAACTACTTATTGAGATGAGAGAGAGAGAGAGAGAGACTCCTGCAGGGGTCATTGTCATTGCTTAGGCCACCTGTACCCAGAAGCCTGGTGGGAAAGATTTAAAGAAGAAGGAAAAGTGCTTTAATCGTCCCGGCAGGGATTCACGTGCCGCAGGAAGGTGCTGGATTTCTGGATTTCGGGTGGATGCATGCGGCCTTCATACCCCACACTGGGCCCAGCGGAGAGGCCTGTGGGCCTTTCTTATCACTTCCTGGAAGTGTTTGTAGTACACTCGGACCTGGCTCTGGCCAGGTGTGGTCGGTCAGCTGTGGTGCAGGCGCCGCCCTGGTGCTCTGCCCCATCTGAGGTCCTATGTAGCATGGACCCTCACAGAGAAGGAGGTGGGCTGAGAGGGGAACGGACACTCACCACCCTGCTGGCCTTTGGAGGCTGCCTATGGGCCTCCATGGAAGGCCTTCCCGCATCTGGGTGTCTGCTGCTGCTCTGTGTGGGGGCAGCAAGCCAGATCCAGGAAAGATCACAGCTATCCCTGGTTCAGTGGCTCTGAGTCAGGTACCCGGGTCCCAGAACCCGGATCCGCTACATCTGGGCTGTGTGACCTTGGGCACATCCTTGCCCTTCCCAAGCTGTTTCCACATGTGTAGGATAGTGTCACACTGTCCTCCACCGGGTGTGGTGAGGATTAAATGAGGCAGAGTGTACCACACCCCTCATGATCCACACTATTTGTCCTACAGACTTCCCAGGAGGTCAGAGCCCCACCCCCCTGAGAAGGCCCGCGGTGTTTGGGGAGGAAGGAGGAGGCCCAGGAGCGGGGGCCAAATATGTGGATCCCTTCTCAAAGCGAGGAGAGCTCAGGGTGCTGCGGCCACGGAGTCAAAAGCTCTGAGCTCCTCCATCGCCCCTAGTATGGGCAGGACGCAAGCCACCAGCGCGGGGCATGGCCCTCTGGTCACACAGCTCTTGTCCTGTCTGTGCCTCCCTCTGCTCCAAGCCAAAAGGAAAGGCTCACAGGGTCAGATCAGGGCAATGCAGGGGCCCTTTCTGATGCTTCTCCTGGAGGTTTCATTTAGTACTAGAGCAAGCCCCAGCCTGAGCTCAAAGTTAGCTCAGCCTCCCAGAGTGCTAGGATTACCCAGCTTCCTTTCATTTCTTTCAAACCCTCCAAGGAGAGAAGGACATCACAGAGCTGCCCACCTTTCCCAAGGGGAGACTGAGCCTCTGTGCTTGGACGGAGTCACAACTGGTACAGGACAGAGGCTGAGTTCACAGCTGGGCCTGTGAGTCTGCTCTAGTTCTTCATGAAAAAGCTACTGGGAGCTTCCGCCTGAGGCTGCCATGAATTCCCAGCCCTGCTTCCAGTGGTCTGTCCTTCCGCTGGGGAATGGGGACCCAGTGATCAGTCCACTGCTGGCTTCAGTCATGCCTGCCGGGGGCAGTGAGCTCCATTGGCCGTTCATTGGCAGCTGTCCTCTCTGAGGCTGTCTAGTCCAGCCACGTGTTCTGCCTGGGACTCTGAGCCCTCTCCCAAATGGGCCTGGGTCTCATTAGCTACTCAGAGCCCAGCAAAGGCCCACATCGAGTTGCAGCCCAGTGACATGAAGGGCCTCAGATTTTGGATCCCAGAGTTTGAATCTCAGGCAAATGGGATTTTGAGCAAGTAATTTCCTGCCTGAGTTTTCTCACCTGTAATGGGGTAAGAAGCCCAAAGCCAGGGGACATGGCAAGGCACACCCATAAGCCCAGCACTTTGGGAGGCTGAGGCAGAAGGATTTTGCGTTCAAGCACAGACTGGGCAATTTAACAACTTAGTGAGAACACGCCTCAAAATAAAAATGTGGCTGTAGATGGAGCTCAGTATGAGGATACTGAGTTCAATATCACCATACGTACAGTATCACGAAAAGAAAATGGGGGGAAAAATCCCAAAGCCAGCTTGAGGCATGGCTGAGGTCATTTAAGCAAAGGGCAGGAGTCCTAGGATGCAGTGCACAAATGCCAGCAATCGCCCCTGTGCCGGCTGCCAGGCTGGACATAGCAAGTCCTGGCCTTGCCACGGGTCTCCTAGGAGGCATGACGTGCGAGCTCTTCATCCCTATAACCCCAAGGCCCTGTTGCTGGCAGCTCTTCCATGACCTCTCACTGATGCTCCCTGCCCCCCTTGGTGCCTTGCAGCTCTGCACAGCAGCTGTGCCCATCAGCAGACCCCCGAGTCTGTGATGGTCCAGACCAACCAAGAGGTGACGATGACCTGCAATATTAAAATCTCCCTGAGCAACAGCCGCATCTACTGGCTGAGACAGCACCAGGACCCCAGCAAGGACAGTCACTATGAGTTCCTGGTCTCTGAGGATTTCTCCAAAAACATCACCTATGGCAGCGGTTGGACACAGGAGATGCTCGCTCTGTCTCGGAGCTCCACCCGCTTCACTCTCAGGCTCATGCATGTGAAGCCTGAGGACAGCAGTGTCTACTTCTGCATGACCATGGGGGCCCCCGAGCTGACCTTTGGGACAGGAACCAACCTGAGTGTAGGTAAGAGTGGGGCTCTGTGCTAGAAATGGGGATGGAAAGCTGGCCGTGGTGCTGCATGCCTATAATCCCAGCACTTGGGAGGCTGAGGCAGAAAGATTGCTGTGAGTTCCAGGCCAACCTGGACTACATAGTAAGTTCAAGGCCAGTCTCCAATAGAAGGACAGCGAGACCCTGTCTCAAAAAAATTTTTTTTTTCTTAAAGAAAAAAATTAGTGTTGAGCATCTACTAGGTGCCAGGTGCATCCCAGGCACTGGGGCTTCTCTACTGTCAGCTGGGAGTAACAGGAAGTACATGCTGGGAATCCCCCAGCCAAGCACCTGCAAATGCTTTTCATGGCTGTCTCAATGCTCCCACTTTCCCTAGCATGAAGTATGTTATGCCTTTCATTTTATCTATTTATTTTAGGTTTTTCTTTATTCTTTCTTTCCTTTCTTTCTTTCTTTCTTCTGAGACAGGGTATCACTAGGTAGTTCAGGCTGATCTTGAACTCACTATGTAGCTCAGGCTGGCCTCCAACTAGTGGCGATCCTTCTGCTTTAGCCTCCCAAGTGCTGGGAGCTCCAAGAACGGCTGCACGCTATTCCCCTCCCTCACCCAGCCCTCAGCATGGGACACTGGCTCAGGATGAACCAGAGGTAAGGAGAGACCCTGGGCCCAGCCTGGCTCCTGATACAGCAAGGCCTCAGGCCCAGCCCTCTCATCTCTGCTCTGCACTTTTGAAATTAAAGTCTGAAACTAGAAGCCCCTCTAGCTCTATATTATATGATCTTTTATTTTCAGAACTGGGATTAAACCCAGTGCCTTTTCACTGAACTACATACAATCCTCCTTACCTGCCCCCCACCTTTAAACTTTGAGACAGGGTCTCACTAAATCAGTAAATTGCCCAGGCTAGGATCAAACCTGTGATCCTCCTGCCTCAGCCTCCTTGACTTGTGGGATTACAGGTGTTGTCACACCTGGCAAGATCTAGATTGTAAAATTTTTAAGGACACCTGAAAAGGTAAACAGCCCCAACTGGGATCCTGCATGATATTGCAAGGCAGGAAAGAGCTCCCTCTTCCTTTGTTATGGATCCTCCTCTGGCATAGGGGTTGGCAAGAGGGCTGGGAGCCTGGTTGTGCTGAGGGCCTGGGGATCCCAGCTTCAGCTCAAGGTCTTCTGCACAAGGACACAGGGCCACTATACACTTTACAGGGTGCCTCATCCCTTTTAATTCTCACAGCAACCCCAAGAAGGAAGTGGGAATCATCTTTGTTAGAGCAGACGGGGAAACTGAAGCACAGAAAAGCACAACTTGTCCCAAGTCACACCACTGTGTTCCCTAATCAGGAGCACTGGGCTCTGCTCATGGCTCCAGGGCTCTTCCCTCTCCAGGACACCAAACAACCTCACCCTAGACCCTAGATACATCTGGGGGCTGGGGAAGTGGACCCAGAAGTCCCCTGCTCTGAGACCTGAAGCCCTATAGCTACAGGAACAATGGGTCACAGTACCAGGGTGGAAGGCACATGGTGTCACTAAGGCCCTGGATGAGACATCTGTCTGCTCTTTCTGCAGTTGATGTTCTGCCCACCACTGCGCAGCCCACCAAGAAGACGACCCCCAAGAAGAGAGGGTGCCTGTCCTCCAGCCCAGTGACCCGGCAAGGTGAGTCCTCTGGCCCTCTCTCCCCACCTCCTTCCCTCCTTCCGAATGTGTTGGTCCAGTTTTGACTCTGTAGCCTGTTCCTCCAACACCAGACTGGGGTCAGAAGGGACACAGTGTGACAGCAGCGTGCAGTCCACTAGGGTCAGACTCGTAAGTCATCGCAGAACAAAACTTAGAGGAGAATCTGTCCACCAAAACACCTGCACACGACAGCGCACAACACTATTGTTCATCACAGCCAATGAGTACAAACAACCAGAGGGTCCACTGACTAGGGACTGGATCCACGAAACGTGGGATCCGTTAGAACGGAGCAGTAATATTTGGCCATAACAGAGAAAAATGATAAATGATACAGCTCACACAAACCTGTGGGCTGTTATGCAATGAAAGAGGCCATTCGCTGACAATACCATATGAAGCTAAGCATGGGGGTGCACGCCTATAACCCCAACACTCTGGGAGGCTCAGGCCAGAGGACTGCAAGATCAAGCCCTGCCTGGGTAACTTAGCAACTTAATGAGATCTTGTCTCAATATAATTTTTTAAATAAGAAAGTAGGATATAGCTCAGTAAGAAAGCTCTGGGCTGACTCCCTAGTATTGCAGAATAATAATAATAATAATAATAATAATAATAATAATAATACTGTATGATTCCATGGATATAAAATATCCGGAATAGGACCTTCCATAGAGACAGAAAACAGAAGTGGCTGCTTGACCAGTAGGGAATTCGAAGTGACGTTAACTGTTCCAGGTGTCTTTCCAGGGTGACAGAAATGTTCTAAAGTTAGGTTGTGCTGATTGTGACACAATGCTATGAAGATAGTAAAAACCATTAATGTGTACATTCTAAATAGATAGGCTTTGTGATATGCAAGTTCTGTCTCAGTAAAGCCACTAACAGACCAAAAATCTAAGCCAAAGGATCAGCACTTTAAATTTTTCCAGTTTTGCTGCCTCAAAGAACATGTAGCACATGAGATGGGGTTCATAAGACGTTTGTCAGTGAGCGCAAAGACCTGCCCCTTCACTGTAAGCATCAGACCACTCGACTGGTCATCAGACACATGTGTGTGTGTGTGTGTGTGTGTGTGTGTACACAACGCATATGTCCCATGAACCCCTCAGCGCTCATATAGTGTGTGTGTGTGTGTGTGTACACAACGCATATGTCCCTTGAACCCCTCAGCTCTGATGCATTTCTGGAAAATACTAGCTTCAAGCCTCCAAGGTTACTGGTAACAAACAGAAAGTACCATCTACTGCTCCCCAGAGAAGAAACCACAAGCAGCGGCCCCAGGACGGCCTTGTTCTGCTCAGGTGGCTTTGTCTTCATATATAAAAGACCAGAAAACAAGCAAGGAAGGGTGCCGCATAGGACCTGGGCAATGGGATGAGAAACTGCCACAGGATGTCAAAGTGAAAAAGAAAAATCATATCCCAGCACTCTGGGAAGCTGAGGCAAGAGGATTGAACATTTGAGCCCAGCCTGGGCAACTTAGTGAGACCCTGTCTCAATATAAAACATAAAAAGGGCAGGGAATATAGCTTAATGCAAAGGCCAGAGGTTCAAGCCTCAGTATGGGGAAAGACAGAGACGGACACAGAGAGAGACAGAGACATAGTGGGAAAAAACTAGAGCCCACGAACAGAAAAGCAAAGTGGCCTTGTTTATAACGTGCTGTTCCCCCAACAACTTCACCTAAAGGATTTCAGGCAGGCTACTAATAAAAAAAAATACAGGGCCAGGGGATTTAGCTCAGTGGTACTGCCACCTGCCTTGCAAGTGAAAGGTCCTGAGTTCAATCCCCGGTACCAAAAAAAAAAAGACACAAAACGCAAATACTGTCGGGTCATTAAGGTGAGGCTGTGGGAGAAGCCAGTGAAGTCATGAAATAAAGACCTGCTCCCTCAGGGACCTGCAGCAGCCTCACTGGCCTCCAGCTCGATCCTCAGAAGGAGGGGACCCTGCTGCCCTGTGGCCATCCCTATCGTTTTTTCTAACTTTGTGGAGATATAATTTGCAGAGCATTTTCTAAGTATACACTCTCAGTGAGTTTTAGTGAATGCACAGGTCACATAGCCAGCACCACAATGTAGGTGTAAGACACCTCGTCACTTGTGTGTCTGCAGATGGTCTCCATCCCCACCTTGGCCTCAGCCACCGCCAACCCACGTTCCTCCTCCCGGTCATCGCCAGCGAAGGAAATGAGCAGGGCTCCTGCTTTGGTCTTTTAGCGTGGCCTCTTTTGCTTGGTGCCGTGATTTGTGGGCCCTTCAAGTTGGGGTAGTGCAAATACGGCGAGAGGAAGCCAGGCAGAGAACCTTTGAGTCTTAATGTTTAGGAACTGCAAAGTGAGAGAGAAAAATGATGGTGACGCCTTCCACCCTCACAAGATGAAAGTCTGCCATTGGCCTGACCCTTGGCAGATCATGAGGATTCAGTGAAATCCTCACCCTCCCCAACATCCAGAGTGCTGTTTCCAATCTGCTACCTTGTCCCTGGTTGTGGGCCTCAGCTGCTCAGCAGGACACCCATAGGAGCCCACAGGCCACCGGACAAGGACTGGGGCACCGAGAATCTAAACCTTGCTGCTTAGGTAGCATGCACATCGGGCAAAGGAGAAGAAGGCCAACCCACAGGAGAAAAAAGCACACAGGAGCCAGTACATGCAGTAGGCTGAAGCTCACACACAATCGGGGAATGGAAAAAAAATGTGCCCCCCACTCTTTCCCTCTCCTGGGAAAACTGAAAAGCAGATGATACTAAAGGCCTGTCTGTGTTAAAGGGTGCTGTGCAGCAGGCGGGAATGGAAATCAGTGCCGTCTTCTCCAAAGGCACCTGACCAGATCTCTTACGATTTGAAGTGGACAGAACTGTGGCATCACAGTCCCTAATTCCGGGGTCTGCCTCCGGAAGGCACTTGCATCCAGGAAGAGAGTGTGGTGTTCTCTGACCTCTAAAGGGTTGTTTGGCATTTAGTTTTGTTTTTATTTTTGTGAGACAGGGTCTCACTATGTACTTGAGGCTGGCCTCAAACTCACTGTGTAGCTGAGGCTGGTCTCAAACTCACGGCAATCTTCGTGCTTCAGCTTCTCAAGTGCTGAGATTACAGGTGTGCACCGCCATGCCCAATTATTTTTCAATTCTTTTTTTTTTTCAGCTTTCATTGAGTTTATTGGTACATTTTAGGGATGCAGTACAGTTACATTCATTGTTGGGATCTTGTACCTCTGCATGACAGGTCTTGGTTCTCATTTTTTCCCCTTGTCCCTGCCTTTAGTATGTGTTCTCAGTACATCATTTTTATATTCATTATGGGGAGTTGGTACACGTAAATAACTAATCTTAGTCCTTTTGACATCTCCTTCCCCTCCCTTCCATCCCCTCCATCTCTTTCCCGTTCTTATTTTCAGTTTTTGTTAAATGTGTTTTTAAAATAGTTAAAAGAAAATCTCACTACTATGCAGGAGAATTGTCCACCTCTTCTGAACATAAACAGCTCCCGAGTTTAATTATTTTTTTAAAAATTTGGATGTGAGGCATGAAATTGTTTTTTCCATAGAACTATCTCACTGGTGTCTAAAGAGCCTACAACACTGACTGAGAAGGAAATTCACTATAGCACAGAGGGCCGTGAGTTAACAGGACATGTGTGTGAGTGGGTTTTTCAGCAGCCTGCACCCTAAGCGAGGAGTCAAGACCTCCCCTGGAGGAGAGCTGTCATAGTGTGGGGTGGCCTGGGAGACATGCAGATGGCAGACGTTTCAGCTCCCTGGGGGAGGGTAGCTGGGCATGGCTACACACTTGGCTGTCTGCGTAATCAAAGTTGCTGTCCTGCCAGGCGTGGTGTCACTTTCCTGTAGCCCGAGCACTTGGAAGCCTGAGGCAGTAGGATCATTGCAAATCTGTGGTATACATAGTGAGTTCAAGGCCAGGCTAAACTACATAGTGAGACCCTGTCTCAATATAATAAAATAAAAAAGCAAACAAAAAGAAATGCCACAGGGAACGGGAAAAAAGAGGAGGAGGAGGAAATACACCAGAAGTCCCTGGTGGGTTCCTGGAGGGGCCTTCCCGTGGTGACTTCCCCCGTGTCTGTCTGTGTTCAGTGTCACTCACGTGTCGTGGTGTCTCTTCCAGGCCTGCGCTGTGGCCTCATCACTCTCAGCCTGCTGGTGGCCAGTGTCCTGCTCCTCCTGCTATCTCTGGCTGTGGCCGTCCACCTGTACTGTGAGTTGTCCCTCCCTGACTACCGTGGTGGCCCCATCTGCTGTCTGAGGTGTCCCTGGGTTTACTTTCTTCTCTAGGAGGGTGCAGCAGATGACAGCCTGTTGGAAACCTGCCCCAGAAAACTCATGACAGTTCTGGAAGTGATTATATTTGTGCTTGGGGATTAAACCCAGGGTCTCGTGCATGCTAATAACATACTATACCGCTGAGAGACATGATTCCTGGGTCTCTGCAGTTGGACAAACTTGGGTTTGAGTCCAGTGCTGCTGCTCCCTCTTTAGTGACCTTGGCCTTGACCTCACGCCCAGTAAACTCACCCGGCCTGGTCTGGCAGGCAAGTCCCTCCCTGAGCACCAGCATAGGGCATGTGCTGGTTAAGTGCTGCAGACTCAGGCCCGGTGCCCAGGAGAGGTTGTCAGGGGTTGGATGGTCCCAGAAGTCCTCCCCTTGCTAAGGGCGCAGGGAACCCAGACTGGCTACTGCCCTTGAAACAGTGTAGGTAGACACCTCCTCCCATGCACTCCCAAACACTGCATGCCTTCTAACACAGGCAGAGGGGAGCCCAGTTCGCCCCAGCTCTGCTCAGCTGTGCCACCTTGAGCCACCCTATCTCTGGGCACCTATACAATGGGGTGGGGGTGCTGAGAGGCATAGGCTGATCAGCGGCTCTTACTTTTTAGGGGTCTTGGATACCTTTGAATATACAGTGACCATTGAGGACCCTCTCCTCAGAGAAATGAACCTGTACGCATGCGCTGTTTTGCATCCAAGGGCCCCTAAGGGGGTCTGTGCCCCAAGTTCTAAGAATCCAAACTTTTCTAAGGACCTTGGCTGTGAAAGAACTAAAAATTATTAGCATTAACTGCGTTTAGCTATGCTTCTTTATTTAGTATATTGTGGGTGTTACTGGTTGTATTTTGAGGGTAAAATAATAAAGGATGAGATAAAAATGTAAACAGGGCTGACGTGATGGGGCAGGTGTGTGACCTCAGCACCCTGGGAGGCTGAGGCAGGAAGATCACAAGTCTGATCAGGCTCAGCCTGGGCAACTTATTAACTTAGCCAGATCCTGTCTCAAAATAAGAAATGAAAAAGGGCTCTAGATGTAGCTCAGTGCGAAGACCTTGAGTTCAATCCCCAGCACTGCATACGAGCAAAAAAGTAAGCAGCCCTGCTGCTGTGTCCTTCCCATGTCCCAGTGGGAAATCTCGCTCTCACCTGGACACACGCATTCTGGTTTGAGCCTCCCACCTGTGTGATTGCTCTCATCTGACCTGCTGTGAAGGGTGGGAGAATGTGCTTAAGGACAGACTCTGGTAAGCGTGGGTTCTGGCGTCACCACTCCTTAGCAGCACGGCTTTGGGCAAGTGACTCAGAAACTCACTCTGTGCCTCAGTTTCCCCAGATGTAGAGTGGACATAATAGCGGTACCCACATTACAGGTTTACAGAGAATGTGAAGGGGACAAATGTGGGAAGTGCTTGGGGCAGAGCCTGGCCTGGGAAGAGGAATGAGGTGTCAGCTAACCCACCCCAACCCCAGCCCTGCTGCTCACTGTCCTGCTCAGTGCCGGGGTCCCCACTGCTGACGGTGCCCTTGTTCTGCTCTTCAGGCCTTCGGAGGAGAGCACAGCTTCGCTTCATCAAGCAGTGAGTATCGTTCCCCCGTGACCCGGTTCCAAGGCCCCTGTTGCTGCCGTGTGCAGCCTCAGATGTCACCTTCAGGAAAATCATCAGCAGAGGAGGTGACAGAGTTCAGGAAAAGAGCTGATTTAAACAAAATGCTGCCTAATCACCTAGTAAACATATTTTGTGTACAGTGAGATTCAGTTCTCAGCTCTGCTGCCGACAGCTGTCAACCTTGTGCATGCCAAGTACCAGAGGGAACCCAGGTTCTCTGCCTGCCAGGGCTTCATTCACTGGGTCCCTGAATGGAGGTCATCACCTCCACTTTACAGAGCAGCGGAGAGATGCGTCGGTTCTCAGAGACCAGGCCTGTCCTTTCCCCTCTGCTGCCCTCCATACCACCTGGGTCCCAGGGGTTGACAAAGGCTGAGACTGAACCCCAAATCCCAGGTGCTGAAAAGCACCCCCAAGGCCCTGTGCCTTGTAGGCCCCAGCTGAAGCAGAGGCCAGAGGCTGTGCTGCTCCTGCCTCAGGGTTAGAACCCCAGCCTTGGCCTCACTGCATTTGCTTTTCTTCCTCAGTGGAGGAATCTGTTTCTCTGCCTCCCTCACTAACTCACATGCTCCTCAAAACACACCCCCATCCAGCCGCATGTGATGACACGTGCCTATAATCCCAGCAATGAGGAGGCTGAGTCAGGAGGACTGCTGAGAGTTTGAGACCAGCCTGAGGTACATAGTGAGTTCAAGGCCAACCTGAGACTGTCTCAAAAAACAAAAACACCCCAAAATGTGAAAGTGTTTGCAGAGATAAAGGAATAGCCTCTTAATAAAAGAGGGCAACAGAGGGCCTGGTGTCAAGAGTTCTGACTCCAGGAAGAAGAAGGGCTGTGTTTGAATTCTGACCACTCCTTACTGACTGACCATGAGCCTCCCACCTCTCTGAGCCTCCAATTCCACATCTTTGAATGGGGTGACAGTACCCACCTCCTGGCTTTTGCAAAGACACACTGGGGAGGCTGTGGAGCTCGAAGTCCCCATCCCCAGGAGCCAAAGCACAAGTTTGCACAGAGTTAAGCATATGCAACCCTAGGCAGCAGAGGGAAAAGGACAGAGCTGGTCTCTGAGAACCGACGTGTCTCTCTGCTGCTCTGCAAAGTGGGAGTTGCAACCCCATGCACTTTCCAGTCCTCTGAGGTTATAGTTTCCGTGTGAGCTCTCACTCCCGAGTGCTGGATTTCACACACTGTGTCTCTGCAGAGGGAGGGCTTTTGGACGCACCCGCGTACGTCACAGGCAACTTGCAATGATGGATCGCTGATGTAATATTGTGACCTCGGGGATTGACTTAGAAACTGCTCGCTACCTCACAGATAATGAGGAAAGTGTATCTAAGGCTATACCTGCAGGAACTTTCATTCAAAATCTTCCCCAGTTGACTTTTTCTGGAGAATGAGCCCTGCTCTGGGCCGACTGAGGTCTGTGCCACACGCTCTTTCATCTTAACTCGCTCCCAGTTTGGGGACCCTCTCTTCAGAGAAATGAACCTGTGTTCATGTGCACAAAGTTTTGCCTCCAAGGCCCCCCCAACCCTAAGGACACCATTAAGATTCAAGAGTTTAATTTTTTCTGAGTAAGGACCCCGTTGGTGAAAGAACTAAAAATTGTTATCACTAACTGCGAGTAACCATGCTTATTTATTTAGTATATTGTGGATGTTATTGGTTATGTTTTAAAGATAAAAGGTAAAAGATAAAATAAAAATGTAAGCAGAGCTGATATGATGTCTGTAATCCCAGTATGCTGGGAGGCTGAGGCAGCCTGGGCAATTTAGCATCTTAGCCAGAACCTGACTCAAAATAAAGAGTGAAAAAGGGCTTGAGATGTAGCTCAGTGCAAAGGCCTTGGGTTCAATCCCCAACACTGCAAATGAATGAAACATTAAGGAGACCTGCTGCTGTGTCCTTCCCACATCCCAGTGGGAAATCTCGCTCTTGCCTGGACAATCTGCTCAGCTGAGGCAGGCAGGGTGGTCACGTGGGGCCCTGAGCCCCCCTCAACCCTTCACTCAGGCTTTGCTTTCAACTGTTTGTCTGAGTTTACCTTACCTGTGAGATGACTTTTGAACAAAAGAGCGTATGGCTAAAGTCAAGCTTGGAAACCACCTCTGGCTTGCTCTCATGATCCAGGTATGGATGAAACAGTCTCTGGGCCTTACAGGTCAGTGCTCTGATCGCAGGTTCCAATTCGAGGTAACCTTAAGCTGTGCACACATCTTCCCATGAGCATGCCAGTCCTCCCTGCTCCAGTACTATGTGTCTGTGGATAGCTTGTCTTGGTCTTGTCAGAGCAGCACTGCTCAAAGCTACATCTCCTTGGACTTTCTTTTTTTCTTTTTTCTTTTTTTTCTTTTTTTTTTTTTGGAGGGGGGATTTTTTTTTTTTTTTTTTTTTTTTTTTTTTGGAGGGGGCAATTTTTTTTCTTTTTTCTTTATTCTTTTCTCTTTAGTTTAAAAAAAAAAATCTAAGATGGGCCCTAAACAGGCTAACACAAAAGTCTTAGCCCAAGGCTACTTAGAAGAAAGCCCTGCATCTTCCTCTGCCATTTGTCTCTGTTACTGGAAATGCAATATCATTTACTTGAAAATAAGTGGTCTTACAACTTGCTGTTGCTTTCAGGATCTACAAATGAGCAGAGGTTTTGCTCTCAGTGTCCTGCTACAAAAAGCCATTGGTCGGAAATGAGCAAGATCTGGACAAAAGAGAGAGAAGGGGACACACTCAATGGTGGACATTTTACTGCCTTGCTCTAGCTGCCTGCTTTTAACTGCTGCAAGTTCTTTCTGGGGGCCTCCCACAGAACCCTTGGGGGTTTGCCACTAAGAGTTTTAGAGAGAAGGCTCTGGAGCCCTTGGGCACTTCGAAAAGTGCACTGGAGAACTGAAAACACCACCAAAGACCTAGAATCAACTCTGAAGATGCCACCTTTGGCTCCTGTGCTCTCCCCAGGCTCGGCTGGGACCTTGGGGTGACCACAAGTCATCATCTCTGCAAGCTGCTTTGCCCTAGTATGGCAGCGACATTGGTTCCTGGGTCTGTTACGGGGTGGAGCTGGGATGACAACCTCCCCAAGAGGCTGCTTGTGAAAACGGCTTCCAGAGAAGGAATTCCCAGCAGCCATGGGAGTCTCCTGGCTCGAAAGCTGGTGGGTTGGGGAAGGAATTTCATTCCATGGCTTGTGTATTTCTGTCACTCTCTGTCCTTTTATGAAAATATCTCAGTTGTAAAAATAAAGTCGTTTTAAAGATGAAAGTGACTTCTGTGATATAAAGGGACAGAAGCTCACCCACAGCAAAGATATTGATGCTCAATGGAAAAAGACACACGGACAAAATTTATAGGTCCCCCTTTTGCATCTGAGGTCCTTGTTCACCCCACAAAGTGCTACAGATCACACTGTGGGTATAGAGAGGCTGTAGGACTTAGATAGCACTTGGGGCCCTCACAGCCAGGCCACTGAGGCCTCGGGCCATCTCTCCTTCACTAGACTGCTCCTGGGGCTGGGTTCAAGGACTCCTGGCCTCACAGCAGCCTTGAACCAGAGAGAGGGGAAAGACTTCAGGGCCACTGTCCATTCACTTGTTTACCAACTCTCAGCCTTGGTGGTCAAAAAAGAAACAGGCAAGGAGAAAATGCTGAGCTGGAGTGGGGAGTGGAGGAGAACCCTGCCTTCTGAAAAAGCCCGGGGTCTCAGCCCCTGCCCTGGCACCAGCAGCCAAGGAGCTACTGAGCCGCAAATCAGTGCAGCCTGAGCCGCATTCACAGAGAAGCACCAGCCCCGAGGAGTCTGAGAGAACTGAGTCTGCCCTGCTTTTCCTGACAGCCCGGAGGAGAACACTGGCAAACTAGGTGTGTTCAGAGGCCTCTAGCAGCCGTAGAATGTAACAGTGTTCTAGAAAGCAGAGGAGGCAAGAAGACTCCAGGGCAGAGGCAGCATGGCCACCTCCAGTAGCCGAGATGCAGCAGCACCAACAGACCACCTGTGACGGTGAGGGTTAAGGAGGGAGCCGAAGCAGGAGGTGGTCAAAAAGCAAGTGCTTTTTTTTTTTCTGTCCATCAGCTCAGCTCCAAGGACAAGTGATACCACCACCTCTGCTGAGGGGAGAGGGAGAACGGGTTGGGGCAGGTGGACCAGACTCATCCACGGCACGGGCCGTGCTGGAGAAATGATAGATCAAGGCCGGACTGCTCACACCCAGTCCACGGCGGAAGGAAGAGCAGGCCTCAGGGCCCCGGCAGGGCAGGCGCCAGGCATCTCCCTGCTGCTGTCTCTGTAAACTCATTCACTCGTTTACACACGCTCAAGTGGGGCCGGGTTGGAGGGCAGAGCTTGCTCAGGCTCCCCAGTCTGTTCTGTGCAGGAGGCAGCTGTCCAGGGAGCCAGAGCAGCCTCAGTGCCAGCAGTGGAGGCTGCAGAGAGGTCTGCACCCAGCAACTATGTTTGTTTGGAACAAGGAACTGAACAGTTACTACTGTCTGGAAGGCCACTGTGGCAAGAGAAGTCAGGCGTGGCCTATAATCCCAGCACTCTGGAGGCCACAGCAAGAGGATCACCTAAGTTTGGGGCTAATTTAGGCTGCATAATAAGTTCAAGGCCAGGCTGAACTACATAAGCAGGACCCTGTCTCAAAAAAAAAAAAAAATCTAGCTCTCTTCTGACTAGCAGTTTCCACCTGCAGACATTTGTCTTAAACGTGCCAAAGTGGCTGCATACAGAAATATGCATCAAATTGTTCCACGTGGTTCTGCTTATTAATCAAAACTTGCAAACAATCCAAATGCCTAGCAAAAGGGGCCAGTTAGGAAAATTATGATACAGCCTTAAAAGAGAGTGTATGCAGCTGCAAAGGGATTCACTAGATCCATGTATGTTGACACCAGCAACATACAGCAAGTGTATATATTTTAACAACATCTGTATTAATTATTTTAATACACTGCGTGGTGCCATACCTGGTCACTGTTGAGACACAAATAGATATGACTAGAAGTCAGTATGCTGGTACCCTTGGTGCAGTGCGATCACTGGTGAGTTTGGGGGACAGTGTGCTCTATTTTTGCATCCAGGAGTTAGTCATATGTATGTGCTCAGTTTGTAAAAAAGTTGTCAACCTGAGTGTTGACTTTTATATAGAGATATGGATATACATATGGGTTATAAAGAGATAGTTTTAAAAATCCAAGTACAGTCAGTTGTGACAGCACATACCTGTCATATGAGGCCAGCCTGGGCAACATAGCAAGTTGGAGGCCAGCCTGAGCTACAAACCAAGACACTGTCTCAAAAAAGAAAAAGAAAAAAAAACCCAAGTACCAAATATCGCAGAACTCTGAAAAATCAGTATTTAATACTTTCTAATTTTTACAGTTTATTCTATTCATGATTTTTTTAAAAAGAAAACTGAAATATTAAAATATGGAATATAATTCATAAAAACACATAAGATGTAGGATATAGAAATTTCATTGTTCTGAAAATTTTACTTGATTTCTCTATAATCTATCAAGGCCTCCAGTTCCTGTGTTTGTGTGTATGTAGAAAAAGGTCTGTAAGGATTGACTCCAAGCTGCCAAGGGCAGTGTCCTTGGAGAATTTCCATTTCTGTTAGCACAGTGGTGTGCACAGCTGAGTATTACACTGTTGTAATCAAGGGGGCAACAAAAGTTTGGAAAAAAGAACAACTTATTTTAAAGGGGGCTCTCTGCTCATTGATATTTAAAACAAATAGAATCTACTTAAATATCCAAATATGAGAGATTTGTTCATGAAGTATAACTTAAAAACTCTGTACCATGGAAATCACTGTGACGTATGTCTGAGGCCACCAGACAGCAGGCCCATCACTTTACTAGCTGAGTGACCTCTGGGTGCCTGCGTCCTCCCCTCTTACAGGAACATCACTGGTGTCCCCTGGCTGTCCTGCTGGGGCCTTCCTCGAGCACGTGTAGTAGGGGACTCTGGAAGATGCACTGCCCCCCACCACCACTGCAGTGGGGAGCAGACTGCAGGTGTGGTGCCCACCAGGTGTTCACCCAGGGAGGGGGCTCTGAGGACGCCACCTCTTCCTTTCATCCTTACTCAACCCCACCCATGCCGGCAGCGTGGTCTGTGCCTGTAGGAAGTGGGCAACTTGTTTTCAGAAAGAGATCCCCGGCTCACGTGGGCTGCAGAGCTGATCTGAATCTACCACCTAGTCAAAGGGAAAGAGAGAAACAGCCCTGTGTTCACAGCCTCTGCAGGTGGCAGGGGACAAAGAGATTCCCTCTGTCTTCTCTGGAAACCTCCTCCTTGCGTCACTGCAAGTCTCTGTGCCTGGAGTCCTCCCAGCTGCATAGCTCAGTGAAACTCTGAGCAAGGTCCCCAATCCCTTTTATTTTATATTTTGAGACAGGGTCTCACTAAGTTGCCAAATTACCCAGACTGGGCTGATTGCCATCCTCATGCTTCAGCCATCCAGAGTGCTGGGATCACAGGTGTGTGCTACCATGCCCAGCACCTGATTCTTAACAAGCTGCAAGCCACCATGGCAAGGGGGCACTTGCCCTCCTGTGCTGTGTTGTTGGCTCTCCAAGATCATGATTTGTCCACTAATCCACAGCCTTTCAATGTGTGATTACTCATCTTAGAGACTGAACTCACTATGTACCCTAGATTGGCCTTGAATTTGAGGGATCCTCCTGCCTCAGCCACCTGAACACTGACTGAGCTTACAGGCATACACTACCAAATGAAGCTTGCTTTTTTTTTTTTTGCAGGCTAGGGATCAAACCCAATGCTATGCAAGCAGTCTACTACTCTCTACACCTCCAGCCCATTTATTCATGTTTGTTTGGTTTTTATTTATAAGTACCTAAGGATTGAACCCAAGAAGTGCTGAGCTGCATTCTCAGCCCTTTTCACCTTTGTTTTAATTTTGACACAGGGTCTTGCTACCCAGACTACCCTCAAGTTTGTGATCCTCCTGTCTCAGCCTCCCGAGTACTGGAATCACAGTTGTGCATCACTTTGCTGAGCTCCTTAGGCTCCTTAGGCATCTTGAAATCGGTTCAAATATACTTACTTGCAGCACCATCTGTGTGCCACATTAGCCCTGGGCTGGGACAATGAGTGTACATGTCCAGAACAGACCCAGCAGGGCTCCGGGGCCTGAGGTCTTTCTTACAGCACCTGCCAAAGAGATTTTTCAGTTCCAGCCTCATTACCTGCCTTACCAGCCGTGGACCAAGGCCTAGAGGAGTAGATGGGCTCCTTTCTGCCACCTGTATACATGGCCACTATTGCTAAGCCTGGAGACCAGAAACAAAATGAAGAAATGTGCAAAGAAGAAAGCTCAGCTTCGAGGGCTTCGGGCTCCCACAAGCAGCCCCCAATCTCCACCTTGCTCCCACTGGGGCTCTGTGCTCCTCAAAGCCACAAGGGCCCTGGGAATGTTCCCTCTGCCAAGCCCAGGCAACAGGCCCTTTGGCGAACATCAGCTCAGCCCTCAGATGTGTCCTGAGCACGGAGACTGTCCCTACCCCAGGGAGGGCATTATCATGGGGAACACAGACCCACTGCTGGCACTGTCTGGAGGATTTGGAGAGTGAGTGACCTGGCCGTCACCGACCTAGGTACAAGGCGTCAACTCCTCCTCACAATGGCTGCACTGGTCGAGGGAAGTCTCAGCTACTTCTCAAGATTCTGAGGAGGGCTCTGCGGCTGGGTGGGGGCGAAATTGCAAGAGGAAGATCTGTGGTAGTGTTGTGGGGGGTGTGGAGCCCCCCTTCCCCAGCACGCTCCTGTGGGGCCCTTCAGCATCCTGTGGGTCCGACGCAAGCTTCAGGGGTTGACTCTTGGCTGGGCAAGACCGTGCCAGGCCAAAGGGAGGCCATGACCCCTACTCTCTACTCTCAGCCTGTCACAGGCCTCGGCCAAGCTCAGGGGATGTGGGGAGAGGAGAGCCATCTGCAATTGGAGCAGGACAGAAGCTCTGCCTGCCTCGCGAACACAATCTCAAAGTCTGTGGCAGAGCCAGGCGGGGGAGAGCAGGCTCTGAGCTGTCCTTCCCTTCCATCAGCACCAACCTTGCTGTCACACAGAGGCTCCAGATTCGGGCAGAGGGAGGTAGGATGACTTCTGCAGATGAATGGGATCCTCCACATGCACCTTCTCCAAGCCCAGCTCCCTAGAAATTCAGAATCCCAGGTCAGTGG